GTCCCGCGCCGCTGCCCCGCAGCCCGGTGCGCCCGCGTCTTCTCCGCGCCGCGCCGCGCCGTGCTCTTCTGGTCCAGTCTCTCCGCGTCCAGGTTTGGAAACACCTGGCAAGCTGCGCCCTGATTTACGAAGTGAAAGTGTTAAATGGGGCCACCAGCTGGAAGACTGACAGAGCTTTATGAGTTTTATTAGGTGCCCTATTATGGAAAATAAACTTTAATCCGTCCATAAAACCAGAATCGGAAAACCATATTTGCCCTTGTAGTCTGGAACAGTGCAGGTATTCTTGTGAGACGCTGGGGCTTTAAAGAGATTAGTTTTATTGAGACAGACACAGCGCACCGGTAGGACTTTGATACCTCCTCCATGAATAGCTGCTTACATCCTGCTGGGCTCCCCCGCCCCGGTTAGAAACACATCTGGGCACAAGTCTGTTGGCATACAGTAAATCTCTAGCCCAGTCGAGTTCATTTTCCTGTGTAACTGTTAGACACGCAGCCGCGGAGCAGGCGGCAAGGGGCGGATGCAGCCCTTGGGAGGCTGAGCTCGCTGCCAGCTCGCTGTGCGCCGCGGCGGCCGGTTTGCCGCGTTTGAGCTGCAGGGGGGCGGGTCCGGCCGCTGAAGTGGCCCCGGCCGAGCAGTGCGCTGCTGGGGTGCGGGCCGGCCCCGGCCACGCCGCCTTTGTGAAATTGTGGCGATTATTTTCAAACCCTGAATTTTTACAGGTTTTTTTCCCCTTCCCGGAGGGCAAATAGGGACGATTGGAAATATTTGTGTTACCTCAGATCAAACCCAACCTACTTAGAGCCCACTAAAATACTCCAATATTTGCATATAAGGAAATGGCGTTTGGAACAGGTTTCTGCTTTAATAACCTTTATCTATATTCTGCTTCAATAAACCTATTGTATCCGTACACACACGCGTTAGTATCATATATCCGATACTGCCAGGCACGTGAAATACAGCCCGATGTCTGCCTGGGATTGGTACTAGCGAGAAGGAAAAAAACCAAAAACCAAAAGCCAGTGTTAGTTCTTCAGCTGTGCCTAATTCAAAATGTGATCTGTAAAGCAAATTATCTCTGTTTTAGCTTGCCCCCCGCAGTATGTCGGAGGAATATTGAACAAACGCTACGTGGGGTTGGCACCCGTTTGTGAGCCACGTGTGTGTGTGTTTGTATGAGTATGACGTACTCGTGTCGAGAGTGTAATACGCATACACATATACAGTACATGTCTGTAACTATACATGTGTACTAATAGATAATATGTATACGTGTGTATATGCCACTGGTCCCACAGAGCTCATGTATGGATTTACATAATTATGGATTTACACGGGGATTAAAGCTTAATAAAATATATATGGCTTTAATAACCACGCAAATCCGTAACTATATGACTTTAATAACCATATATCTATATACACGTATTACTACTATACACACGTATCATATATATGAGATACTTACACGTGTGTATCTAGACACGTGGATACGTGTCTATACGTATATAGCACACATGGATAACTATATCTATATAATAGATGTGTGTGTATAACCATATTATCATATATCTATCTATCTATCATATATGTGTATATATGTATACACACACACACACATACCATGGATAACCATATTATATATATATATAAATAGTATATATAAAATATAGATGGCTTACAAACCCGTGCTAACCTTATGTAATGCTTGTTTAATATTCTCCCAATATACTGCGGGTGCTGAGGCGTCAAGCTAACGCAGAAATAGTTTGCGTGACAGATTACATTTCGAATTAGGAAACCTGAGAGCTAACACTGTTTTCCTTCTTATCGCTAGCGCTAAGCTCAGCCAGGCATCAGCCTGTATTTCACGTGCCGGGTATGGCCAGCTCTGTAGAGAAGTCATTTATAGGGGCCATATTGTTTTCATTTCAAAGGTTAACACAGGTTTGTAAAACATTCACTTGCAGAGCGCGGGGCGTGGGGACGCTCCGTATCTCACAGGCTCGGATCTCGGCCGGGAAGGCGGAGTCTGGGGACCAGCTTGACATATTCAGCCCCGAGGCAACTTCTGTGGCGGGCAGAGCCCTCGGGAAGAGGGCAGGGGCAGCCGGGCTCCGGCTTCCGGAGCAAATTGCCTTTCGGCAGCTGTCAGCGGACGGGGATCCAAGTCAGGCGGAGTTAGGAACTGGAGCACTAGGAAATATTGTTGCCCCTGTCCTCTCTGATTTAGAGCAAGCACCGTAACTAGGGGAAAGCAGTGCGAACGAAACCAGGACTGTTCAGCTAAGCCCGATTCTGGTCTCGGCTAAAAGCAGATGCTCGGTTTATCTTTACCCCGGGACAAAGGTTTTGATCCTGAGATCCTGCAAACTTACGAGCTCTTTGTCCCACTTCAAGTACCCAGGATAAACAACCTCGCCCCGGGACCATCGAGGCCCATTCGAATCAATTGCCAGTCGATCTGCGTGTGTAAACGGGTGTCCCGGTCTGGGCTGATTCGAATTAACACGCGGAACAATCAGGCCTGGGTTAAACCAGGCGGCTGGTGCCAGCTGGGCACATACAACCCACAGGCACACTCTGTTCTTGGCTACCCCGAGGGTCAGCAGTGAGACCCGGCAAAGCGGCTCCGGGTTTACACCCCGTGTGGCTGGGGCACTGCCTCAGGCGTTCACACGCAGCAGCGGGGGCAGAGCCGCGCTGTAATCCCTGAGCGGGGATGAACGGCTCGCGTGGCCCCGAGTCGGCCGGGATGAGCCAGTGATTATAGTTAAATCCGCGATAATGGATTTGGGGAAGCGGCGCACTGACAGCAACCAATGGATCGTTCAGTTTATTAGCCAGATAAATCCCGCAGCTATTCAGGCGCTGGCCTGGCGGCTCGGGGCGCTGCTCCACGGCGGAGCTGCTCGCAGCCCCCAGCCCCCAGCCCCCAGCCCAGGCCAGGCCAGGCCGCCGGCGCGGAGCCGCCTGCCCCTCCCGGCGGGCAGCGCTCTCTGCGGCGGGCGCCCGGGGCTGGAGGCTCTCACCTCGCCTCCGCTGCCGGGACTGCCGCCGTCCCGACTCTGGCCTCGGGCCCGAATAAACTCCCGGCGCAGCCCCAGCCCCAGCCCCCCCGGGAGCGGCAGGACCCCCGGATCCCTCCTCCCCTGCACCCTCGCTCCGAGGCGACCCCGCATCCAGCCTCCTCCGGGGAGGCTCCAGGACGCAGACTGCAGCAAGGGGCTGCGTTTGGGTTTATTTTAACCCCAGACCCTGGGCTGATTCCCGGTGTTTCCGAGCGGGACACAGCCGGGCTGCGGGGGCGCCGGGCCGGGGGAGCAGGAGCCGGCTCCGGCGTGAGTCGTTTCTGCAGCTCGAGTCGCCGCTCCCGGGTGCTCGGCTGTGCATCTGCCACTAGGCCCGAGGTCGGTCCCGAAATGAGGGGCCAGGCGGGCTCCGTACAAAACCCTCCTTTATTGTACAGGCGCGGGGGAAGCCGGGCAATAATTTAGCATGCACGCGTGTCCCTTCTCTGTTATAAATACAATATACAAAAATAAAGACGGTCCAGTCCGAGGTTTCCAGCGGCTCCAGCGCGGGGCGTTGCCGGCGCTCGGGCTCCGTGTCCCCGGGGAGGTTTTCCAGCTCTCCCGTAATACTGTGGTGAGCCGCGAGCCCGGGGCAGGACGCGCTCCCGGCCGCAGCCCCACCGCCGCCTCGGGCCGGGGGACGTGGCGCGGAGCAGCCGCGGGGCGCGTG